CAGTAGGCTGACATTTCACACATTTATTTTATGTTTTACCCAAAAAATGAAGCTGTGAGTCGCAGTAGTGATGATTCATTCCATAACCAGGCTTCATAAAACTCTTGCTCAGTGGAGGTTTGGCTACAATTTTAGTTTCATCTTTGTGGAGCTACACAAGGCACACGATCGCACAGCACTGGAACACTCCGTCTAGGACTATTAACCTTAATTTGGGGGTTAGCAGTAATGCGAGAAACAAGTATCATGCAGGTGCCTGACTCTACTGTACAACAGAAGGTCAGAAAAATTATTTTTCCTTAGGAGAAAGCCTATAGACCACTGGGGAGCTCATCACTTTCAGCATCAGTTTTAGAGCTGAGCCAGGGTGGGTCACTGCACATGTTGAAGAATGCATTATAATCACAGAATCATTAAGGTTGGAAAAGATCTGAAGGAAAGTAGTGCTTAGGGATGTGGTTTAGTGGGCAATATTGGATAGCTGGACTGGATGACCTGAGAGGGCTTTTCCAACCTGACTGATTCTATGATTCTATGACCTCCAAGATCATCCAGTCCAACCTCAACCCACCTCCACCACCTCCCTCAGTACCACATCTCTATGTTTCTTGAACATCTTCAGATAAGGTGACTCCACCACCTCCCTGGGCAGCCTGTGCCAGTGCATCACCACTCCTTCTGAGAAGAAATTGTTCCTAACATCCAACCTGGACCTCTCTTGGAGCAATGTGAAGCCATTACCTCCTGATGCTGTTACCTGGGAGCAGAGGCTGACCCCACCTTGCCACAACCTCCTTTCTTGGAGTTGTAGAGAGTGATGAAGTCTCCTGAGACTCTTCTGCTCCAGCTGAACCACCCCTGTTCCCTCAACTTCTCCCCAAAAGACTGTGCTCCAGACCCTTCATAGCTTCACAGTGTCCTTCTCTGGACGCTAGTATATTAGATACACCAGCATCTCTGATATCTCCAAATCTTCTCTGTCGGTTGTTCTCAAGATTAATTGAGTATTTCGTCAGAAACCTCTGCATCCAACCTCAAAGACCTCTCTGCCAGACAGAAATCATACTTCATTGACTTCATTTTGCAAGCAGGAGGAAATGGGACAAGTTATGTCGAAAAGTTTGTGTGTAAAACACAATGATGATTTAGGGTACAACCACAAAGCAGGTTACTGTAAGAGAAGGCCAGTTGGAATCTACTCTTCAAATCTGGAAGATCCTGGTGTTGGACACCAACAGTTCCTCAGTAATCCTTTGGGACACACACCTTTGCTACATGGCAGAGGAGCTCTTCTTTGTGGCCTCCAGCCAGAAGATAGTTGATAACTCTTTGCATACTTTTCCTCCTTTGCTGACCTTGAGTTTTATGGCTGGAGTTTATGGAGTTGACGCACGCTAACGTTCTGACAAAGATTTCCTAGCATTATCTTTCCCTCTAAGCATATGTCAGATTTCCCTGACAGAGATAACATCTTCAAGACACACATTTACATATATTTATGTGAATTTCCAGGTTTACATCCACAAGCAAAATACTTTTTTAAATTATGCTTACTACATTATCTCACACTGTAAGAAAAAAATTGGATTTGTTTTCAGCTTCCGAAATAAGGGCCATTGATTCAATAGGAAAAGCTCCTTAATAATTCAAAGAAGATACAGCCTAAAGGAGAAAAATAAAAAAGGAAAGAAAATGATATCTTCAAGCATTGTTGGTTTCATTCCCTCAGTTCATTGCCTATTTTCGAAAATAAGTAAAAAGCACAAAAGGAACATGAGTTTCTGTTGCGTTATACAAATAGGAAACAAATTACTATAAAACTTTCCCTTGCACATGAAAAATATGGAATTGAGTCTTACATGATATATAAGCAAAAGAGTCCTCGCAATAAAGCTAGATCCTGTGATTTGTTTGGGGTTGCAAGGGGAAAACAAACATCTTCCTCTCTTCTCCTCTTCCTCACTTCTCTCCCATAGGATCTTGAACCTGACCATGAAATACTGTAGGAATCTGGGAGTAGGAAGGGAGTTCCACAAGCAAGATGTCCCAAAATTGGATGATTCATGCACAGAATTGCTGTGTTTACTGTCATCCATATTGCCAGAAATCCAAACTGTAGAAATTACTTTGTCAGCAATTCAGGATTAGTCATAAATCTGTTACATTATGCAGGAATCTTTTATTTTTACTGCTTTTTTTTTTTTTTTTTTTTTTTAATTAGAAAATTAATGTGTTCTTTTTATCAACGTTTATCCTATATCCAAATGGATAGAAATAGTCATGAACCAGCAAAAGAGCCTTAGATACAATCAAAATAGTTTATTGTTGAACTTGGTATAAAATTCATCTAATAAAAATTACTATTGCAGTTCCCCCTCCTGCAAATGCCTGAATGGCATTTCAAGAACACGACACGAATCATAAAGAGAAAAGGATGTGGAAAAAGGGACTGAGAAAGCATAAACCTGTCTATCAGGGAAGAAGCTGCAGTTTTTTGTCTGCGCTGATAACCTTGAATCCCAGGGTAAAGACACGAACATAGAATCTAATCACAGAATCACAGAATGGCTTAGGATGGAGGATGGCTCCAATCTCTACCATGGGCTGGTTGCTCCCCACCAGCTCAGGCTGCCCAGGGCCCCATCAGCCTGGCCTTAAGCACCTCCAGGCATGGGGCATGCACATGGCGGATATTTCTCAGTGTTTCCTTCAATTCTGAGGATTGGATGGATCTGAAGTCTCTACTTCTTAGTCCCCACCTTGAAAAGAACATCCAAGAGTGGGGAAACAGTCGTGAAGAGCTTCCAAGGGCAGGGTGCAAAGGGGCATTTGACTTCAGCTCGTTGTTAGATAGTTTGTGAGCTGTTGCGGTTCAACCCAGCAGGCAGCCAAGTATCACACAGGCGTTCCCTCAATCCCCCTGGGTGGAACAGGGGAGAGAACTGGAAAAAAAAAAAAAAGAAGATAAAACTCACGGGTTTAGACAAAGGTTGTTTAATAGGACAGAAGAAGAAGGGAAAATAATTATGATAATGATGTTAAAAGAATATACAAAACAAGTGATGCACAATGCAATTATGTCTATGAGGCTGTTTCAGAAGCGAGTCTCACTGTCGGACTCCATTCCTTCTGGGGTGCCATGTCACCATAAGTCTTGCTTGCCAAGGCCCAGGGTGGTGCTTTGGGAAGTGTGGTGGGACGTGGGATATGCTTCCAGCAATCCAGTGGTTGCTTCCACCACTGTAAGCACATGGCACTTGCCTTGGTGGGTTTGTGGGAGCGTGATATAATCACTCAGAGGCATTTAATGATAGCTGATGTATAAGTTCCAAAGCAAGGAGAGCAGTCTCTGTTACATCAGGCATGCCAAGACATCGTTTAGGCGTCTCTACAGGAAATACAACAGCAGTGCATCATGTCTGCAACCTCATCTCTGGGCATAAGCACACGTAACTGGCCTACAGAGAGAATTTGCATTGAGTGTATTGTTTCTCTAGCCCAGATTAAATACTTAAACATATGAGGGCGTTAAACATATGAGGAAACCCATACAGCAGCAACCATGGCTGATTGTAAGGCAAGGCTCATGTTATTCCATATATTTGCCAAGGAACTGAAATTGTCTGAAAAAAGGCAGGGAACCATATTTGCTGATTAGGTTTCTAGGCCTTTAGTGATGGTACCTACATGAAATTAGAGCGGAGGAACTACACACAGAATAAAATCAGGGAGAGACACCAAGAGGGACAAGATGCTGGGAGATTTACTTTCCAACCCTTTCAAAGAGACATCCAATACCAAGACTGTTTGAGCAAACAGGAGAAGGAGGTCACTCTGCAAGAGGACCCAGCTTCATACCAGTGATGGTGTGGAAGAATAAACACTTTGAAGTCTTTGACTGTGCTAGTATGCTTAACCTTTGCACTTCCTGCAGGATTTCCATGCTGTACAGCCATTACCACACTTTGCAGTTAGGCTACTTAAATTAAGCGGGGTGGTCACAACAAGGGAGAAGGGAATGAATTTGTTGCTTTGCAGAATTCTTAGAGGTGCATCTATCCTCAGTGTGCATCTATCCTACTCCCCAGGGGAATGCATTTTCAGTTCCCATCCTCACTCAAGAGTGTGCACCAAATAGGTATTTATCTGCACAGATACTGTGCCCCAAATACTCATACATTTCCACATGTTCCTGCACATAAATACCACACTCACACACCTAAATATCACACTCAAATGTCACACTCACACTATGCACTGAGACAGTGACAAGCTTGATTCCACCTGGAATGTACCAGTATGTGCTCTTATGACCCTGCTCACAGTAGCATGCTTCATCTTTTACAATTAAGTGCTACAAAATCCATAGTGTGACCACAGCTTTTGCAGAAATCCATGGAGCCAAGAAAAAACCATACTGTTTTAAGATTTTTACACAGTTTACTTGATGTGGACATGGAAAGAAATGGAATCCCACTTCTCAGGTATCACAAGCAGAGCCTGGTATCATGCTGGTGCCATTTTTGAGCAAATCCATTGAAAAAATCTTGGTCATGGGAGGTGGGGTCACCAACAGCCCTGAAAGAGACACAAAGGAATTTCCCAGCCCTCTGATGGTTCCAGTCAGTCACCACAATGGCCATTATATAGGCATTTTAATTGTGAAGACATAAAACCTGTTTGGTTTGGTTTGGTTTGGTTTTTATGGCATCCAAACACCATTCATCCACCTCATTTCTACCTGTTTTTTTGTTTTTTTTTTCCTTCATTTTTTTTCTGTAGGCATCCCCATTGCTGGCCAAACTGCCATGCAGGAACAGGGATGGCAAGCCATTGCAGTCATTTCAGAAGTGAGACATGATCTCTTTGTTGGAAATAATAGTCATTTGTCAGTATATTTCCCAATTAATGGCATCCAAAAAGCCACACAGAAAGAGAGTCTGGAAAGATGCAGATTTGGAGCCACCCCTCAGGAATAGTCAGAAAAGAAGAGGGGACATTTAGCTATAGAATACAGGTTTACGAAGCACACGCACCACGTTGTATGTGTTCAGCCCTGGTGCATCAAAGCCAGGAGACAAACCCTTGCGATCAAATGGATAAAAATTAAAGAGCTGCCCATTCTGGGTCTCCAGTGAGATGGAGGCAGAGCCCAGATGCAGAACACACGGGAACTCCTTGTCAAACACAACTTGGAAGACGCGATCTTCCAGATGATGGAGCTTGATTGTCCGATATTTCTCAGGGATCAGCTCTTCAGCATGAGGCCCAAACTGCTGCATGACCAGCACCCCACCGCGTCCAACTTTGATCTCATAGAAAGTCAGGTTGGAATAGGTGTAATAGCCAACAAAAGGGACTGGGCTTGGGGGAGGAGTCAGTGTTTTCTCTGCCTCTCTGAACGCAGTCTCCATGGCAGTGATGAGATACTCGTATGTCTGGGTCACAAGATCTCCACCCTGAGGCCTGGGCCCAGCCATCAGTACAATGAAGCTCAGGCGGAGCTTGGGGATCAGTGAGAAAGTAGCTGAATAGCCATCAAGGTCTCCATCCTTCCTAATGACATCATATCCCAATTGCTCGTTAATCTCCCAGGGCGTTCCAGTCTTGTTGGCAAAGTATTCAGTGGAGCATTTAAACAGAGGTGTCAGCATTGTCTTCACTGTGTCAGGCTCTAGGAGACGACGGTGATAGGTGCCTAAAAACACCATTGCCAGCTTGGCAAGGTCAGCAGCTGTAGAGTACATCTGTCCAGAAGGTCTGTACCAGCCGAGGTCGTAGAGAGGGGCTGGCTGCTGGCTGCTGTAGAAACCCACCGCCATCTGGGAGCGGATGGGTGGTGTGATGTCAAAGCCAGTGTCCTCCATGCCCAGGCGGTCCAGGATGTTCTCCGAGATCCATCGCTGGTATTGTCCGTCAGCTGCGTGGTCAGCTAGCACGTGTGCCATCAGAGAGAAGGCCAAATTGCTGTAGTGGCATCTGGAAAGAAAGAAAGACAGAAGCGTAGAATCATTTGAGTTGGAAGGGACCCTAGAAGGTCATGCAGTCCTGCATCATCCTTACTTTAGTTACACAGGGTGGATATGATTTTGCAAATAACAGTGGCTGGGTCTCTCTCCTCTGGGGAAAGATGATACTTTTATCAGATCACATGCTAAAGGGAGAGCAGTGATGAGGCTGTGACAAAGTGTTAATGTCTTGATTTTTCTTAATTCAGGAGACAGAAGTTTCTTTTGTGCACATCAGCTGAGCTGTTTAACTGCTACACACAGAAAGAAGGCCGAAGACAGAAAACTTTAGGTGAAAACTTACATTTGCATATTCTGACTTATTGTTCATCACTTTTCACCAAAAGAATGTGTTCATTCTTTTCAAGAGCAGAGTCAAGAGGTACAGGTGCTTACTTTAAAGGTCTCAAAATCCCAGACGAGTCTCTGGAGATTTAACATGGTGCAATAACTTCAGGACCTAAGCTATCTTAAGACAGTAAAAGCACTTAAAAAGCACTTATAAGTCTCAAAAGCAGAATCCAGTAATGTTGAGTGATTAAAGACATCAAAGTGTAAGTCTTTAATATCCATAACGGGCATTGAGTTTTTGCACTTGAATTAAGTTTAATGACATAAAGATATGAATGGGTAATTTTCTTTCAAACACTTTTTCGAAAATCATGTTTTTAACATATTTGATATGTTAAACATCTCCTCTTACTGAGGCCTACTGAGGTCATAAATTTGGTACCACTTTAGCCAATTCCAGCAAATTTCTCATGACATATAATTTGCCACAGGAATAAATCCATGTTGGACTAAAAATTTATGTCTTAAATTGACTGACGTTCACCTTTCCAAAAAAATATATTATATTAGAATCATAGAATATGCTGAAATTAAAGGGACCCACAAGGATCACTGACTCCAACTGCTGGCTTCACGCAGGGCCACCCAAAATCCAAACTCTGTCTGACAGCGGTGCCCAAACCCTCACATTTGAAGAAGATCCCTCCTTCCTTGAAGCAGTCAGTGGTTCCTTCTAATTTAGAATCATCCACAAACTTTCTCAGTTTGCATTTGAGTTTTGCATCCAGATCATTCATAAAAACATTAAAGAGAACTGGCCCCAAAATGGAGCCCTAGGGAAACTCCCTGTAGTGACTGACTGCCAGCCTGATGGAACCTCATTTACTGTAAGCCTTTGAACCTGACCCATAAGCCAATTTTCTAAGATTACATACTTCATGTCATCATGAGTCTTCAGAAGCTCTAAGCAAATTATTTGAGAATATAATTTTTAAAAAATTGAACATTTTTGAAGAACTTTTCCCAGTTAGTCTAAATCTTTTCCCTCACTCACTGTCCGGTGGATCTTGTTGGAGCTTGATGATCCTTGAGGTCCAACCCAGGCTACTCTATGATCCTATGATCCTATGATTGTTCATATTTTTCAGTGTTTGACTGCAGTTCAAGTAACAGACTTAGCACTATACAAATTGCAGCAAGTATCTGATTTAGAGACATGCAGATTTCTACAGATACAGGGTAAATTTCAGTAGGACTTTTTGACGGGACAAAGGGGAATAGCTTTAAACTAAAGGAAGAAAGATTTAGATTAGATGTCAAGGTGAAGAGTGGTGAGGTGTTGGTGTATGCTGCCCAAAGAAGTGGATGGCCTGTCCTTGGAGGTGTTCAAGGCCAGGCTAGATGGGGTCTTGGAAAGCCTGATCTGGTGCCTGATGTAGTGGGTGGCTGGCAACCCTGTCCATGGCAGGGGGTTGGAACTAGGTTATCTTTGAGGTCCCTTAAAATCCAAGGCATTCTACAATTCTGTGAAAATAAATGATGGTTTAAACTGACTAGGTTAATCTGCCTGATCACTGTTGTAAATCTGCAGATTGACAGTTGAAGGATCATTGGACCGAAGTACAACAATTTCTTTGCCCCATCTGGGGGCATTTCCAAAAGTAACTCTTTCCAACCTAAAACAGATGTATTTAGAAACATAGACTCATGGAATGGTTTGAGTTGGAAGGGATCCTTAAAGGCCATCAGGTCCAACCCCCTGCAATGAGCAGGGACACCCACAGCTCCATCAGTGCTCAGAGCCCTGTCCAGCCTGACCTTGGGTGTCTCAGGGATGGGGCACTCAGCACCTCTCTGTGCAACCTGTCCCAGTGCCTCACAAATACATCTATTTGTAGATGGATGATCTGAAGCTCCCTCTAGGAATAGCAATCTTTTTCCATTGGTCATGGACTCAACCCAAAAGCTCTTCAGTGAAAATATCTGACCTGGTTCCAGGATCAGCCACCAAGACATCATCCTTCAGGAGAGCCAGAGCTTCTTGTGTGTTGCCCTTCCACAGCAGGCTGGTAGATCGCAGCCTCCTGGGGAGACCTGTACATGGAGGAGAAACATTCAACAATTTGGCACGAGGTGAGGTCCAATGTTCTGGTCTGGCTGGGAGGAGTTAATTTTCTTCATTGTAGGTAGTGCAATGCTATGTTGTGGAATTTGCAAGAAAATTTTCTAAAAATGAATTCTCCAAATATATTTTACCAGGACTTTCTAAAATGCCGCCGTGCCTTTGCATGGAGCCTATTGGCTCATCAATCCCAGGTTGGGATATGAATTAATTGGGATAGAATTAGATAATTTTTGCAGTTTACAGCTGATTTTCACTCAGAAGCTAAGAGAAAATCAGGAAGGGTACATGGCATAAAAATGAGCATGAGCTTAATTATGGACAAGTTGAATGAGGCCCTTTTCTTTTGTGTCAGCAGGACTTGTTTTTCTGAATTGGCCTGACTTTGGGATTTGAACTGGAAGAAAAGCTCTTTTTCTGCTTCTATTCCAGGGCTATCTGTGCATCATAATGACTAGATAAGAGATGCACTTAGCATATCTCAGCAGATAATGGGCTTTCTACTGGAGGAACTGATGTGAAAAAACACTTCACAATATCCTAGAGTCACAGAATCATTAAAGTTGGAAAAGACCACTGAGATCATCTAGTCCAACCATCACCACAATGCCCACTAAACCATGTCCCTCAGTGTCACGTGGTGGCTTTCATATTGCAGAACCTCCTCCTTGTTTTGTTTTATTTTTACAGCCAGGAAATATAACAGGTGACCTCAATGTTCATTTAATTTTCAGTTGAGCTTTTGAAATTGGGCTTCTGCAGCATCAGACTGTCAGCATCCAAGTTGGTTGCTGTGTCCTGATGGTGTGCTGTACATAAATATGTTGGGGAACTTGGAGATAAAAACCAACAGAGAGAGAAGCAATATCTGTCTTTTATAAACACGTTACAACCAGGTATGCTTCCTCTAAGTATTTTTAGGACATATCCTACATTGGGCTGGCTTCAGGTGATGCTCTGCTCTATACTATTGCAATTTGCCTGCAGGTTATTTTAATCAAAGCTTCTAATTTGGGTTATTTTATTCTCAACTGGAATAATGCAATGTGTAATCTCAGCGCTGCAGGAAATCTCAGCACAGTCTTTTTGGCAGTAAATTCTGGAATCCCCACGTTGAGTATTAACAGCTCTATTTCAAAGAGGTTAGAGATCTCCTGGGTCCTGTGAGCTCCTTCTACCACAACATAAGAGTTACACAAGTATGAAAGTAGCAGCAGATTAATAGTCTTCTGCCAGCAAGTACAAAGCTATTAATAGCTCAGGAATCCCAGATCAGGAAGCACGCTGACAGCTATATTTAGGTCCACAATCAAGGTCTATCTATTCAAAGCAAAGAGGTTTGGTGCCACTTTGACCCTCACCTCTACTTCTTAGAAAAATGAGAGCATTCTGGGCTGGAGTGCAAAAACAGTTATGCAATTTGAAAGTGGTTTCAGGTCAAGCTACTGTGTTGAAAGACACATATATTCACCTTGCATGGGAAAAGCAATTCCCCAGCCCACAGTGCTGCTTGGCCCCTTTCCGAGCAGGTGGCCGGGAGAAGACTCCATTTATCACTGGGAAGTGCAGAGCTGCAGAGCCCATGCTGGTAAATGGCGTCAAGAGCAGACTTTCTTATTCCTGGCATCTGATCTGTTCTCCCCGTGGCCTCTTTCAGATGGCAGGCAGGGAGTGAGCAGTGCTGTCTCACCTGAGAGCTGGCTGGCCATTCTGCGCAAGGTAACAGGCGATGGCTTAAGTGGCATCGAACCTTTTTCCACAAAGATCAGCCCATCTGCTGTGTATCTCTGTTCTGATTCCCTGAACCTTCCCAAAGGGTTTTTAATAGCAAAGTTCTGGGCGTAACGTTCCAAAGGGTCATCCAGAGATGTGACTTTCCCTTCCTCCCACATCTTGTACAGCATAAGGGTTGGAAAGATCTTGGAGACACTGGCGATTCTGTGCAGGAATAAATGTTTATAAAAAGTAAGCATTAAGAAACCCACGAATCAAGAAGTTAGGTGCTCACTACATTAGATCACCAAACTGATCTGCATACAATACCTCTGGTTAATTCAGATCAGAATGACTAACATGCAGGAAAGTAGATAGGCTTAATATCCTTAAATCTGGCCTTCATGGACTGCTACACTGTTCAGTATTCTGCATGAGTAATCGGTCTTTCAAATGTGTTTTGGCTAAAGAATGTATTTTAAATGATGTTTAAATGATTAAAAGCAATACCAGTAGTGCAGCTGACTTTGTGAACTTTGTTCACTTAGTATTTATAAGACGACATATTTTGTAAATTATTCCTTACTAAACATCACAATAAATTGCAAGTCATTTCTTGGAATTTTAAGATTTAAATGCCACAAAATCTTGCATTTCGTATTCAGATTTGGTATTTAGGTGGCTTCCAAACAGTTAAATTTGAAGAAGGTCTTCTGGAAGAAAGAGCGCGAGGTCCTCTCTGCAGGTATGCTGTGGTGATAGAGGCAGGGGGGGTAAGTTAATCACAGCTGCTGAAGCTTTTCAGAACTGTTTACTCTAAGGATAACATTTGATAGCATGCAGACCATGTGTTTCATGTACAGCACAGTTATTAATCACTGAAAATAGGTCTTTAAAGAAAGCAAATACTTCTTGTTTTCTTTTTGTTATGGTTTTTACCACACACTAAGAGCTTTATTCTGTTTTCATCTAAAATACAATAGCCCATATGGCCTTGGCTTCGTTAGTATGCAGCCTACTTCATACATTCAGAATATAGTCTTCCAAAATCCTATTTATTTTTTTTTTAATATATGTATGTGGCACTGTGTTCTTACTGTTCTCAAAATATGTGCTAGCTCTCAGTGTTCAGATTTATGCCCTAGACCTTCTCAAAGAACAGAGTCTTTCCCATGTGAGAAGAACCTTTTGTGGGTCTCCAGGAAGTTCGCAGCGACTCCATTCAAAGTCAGATCCAACCAAACCAGATCAACAGGAAATAAC